AATTTCACATCTACGATATGGAGAATTCAAGTAACTTGCAAGGCTAATGTCGTCGGGGGTTGTTTATCCCAGAAGATAGGCCCTTCCGATTACTCTCTCGACCACATGTGCGTCCCAGCTCACGTACACCACACTCGGAGAACTGATTACGGGATACTGCCCCACTCGTAGTCGCCGCCGCCAACTCGCATTCACTCTGCCACGGGTCGGGAAACATGCCGGGAGGTCATTTCTCTTCCCCAATGCTACTGTCTGGAATGCCTTGCCCGCAGACCTGAGAGCCATAGCCTCGCAGTTCCTGTTTCACAGTCACATTTGCACGCACTTCTCTGACACCAAACACAATGCCACTCCTCACTGACATGCACCTGTCCTCCTTTTTTGAAGGTTGCGCTTATTCTTATTAATTTTTGTGTTTCTGTTTCGGTATAATTCGTATTTCAAGGCATACCCCGAGGCTTTAGGTATTATTGAGTAAAGGACCATTCTGGAACATTCAGCACAATTGTATCTCTCTAGCTAGACTTTTCATTACCAATCATTAGCCCTCCACTGTCTGCTATCTCAACCCTACAGCCTCCCATTATAATGGAACTCCCTTCAATTTAGACTACATCTTTGGGAAATCCTCAAAAATATACATGTATATAATAATAATAATAAAATTACTTTAGTCTTACTCCAAGGAGAGTCTCAGGAAGAAGCAAGAAACAGAAAACAAGAATGCGTACAATGCACGCAGCGCGATGGGTCGCAACCTCAGCAGTCCGTGCACGGTCCGCACAACGCCCGCGCGGGTCCAGCGCACAAAGAGCGCATTTTCCAAAAGAGGCACGGACAACACTAATACTGATGCAAAAAATTCAGATGGAAGACCATACTAAAGAACATTTTCCAAGTATTAAAGGGGCCATCCGGTGGATAATTTTCACGGAGCGAAAAAGTCATGACCCATGTACAAAAAATATATTGACTTGACAGCTAGAATAGATTGATATTTCAGTGAAGCACACCACTTGACTATTTCAGCTATCGATGGATTTCAAAACGAAACTCTCCTCAATCCATCCACCCATAAACAAGACTTTTCCTCTTCGTGAAAAAGATCGATAATTAAGGACGGCCCCTAAATGTGAATCAACATTTAAACTTTATTCATGCAATGTAAAAACAGTGGAGAGAATGCGCAATAAAACTGTTGAGTCTCACGGCACGCATGAAGGATCAACAGATGTCAAAGTTCTTGGTTCGCACGAGGGACTCGAGATGATGGGATTGAGAACGATTAACTTTGAAGACACGAGGTTATGAAGGGCCTGGGCAGCTATGGCAATGAATGTGCAAGAGGGCGCATGCAGCTACCCAGGCCAAACGAATTATACGAGAATGCAAGTAAGTGAAGGGAGAGCGTTCGAGCAAGAAGTAGCAGCGTATTTGAGAAGCGCGAATGGGCATGCAGTAATGTGTGCATGAGTGTGTGTGTATGTGCATACAGGAGGGAGAGTTCATTGGTTTGTGAGTGCGTGCGTGCATACATGGAATCATGAACCTAACGCGACCACGCTAAGAGAAGGAAGGAGAAAAAATATACGAAACAAAAATGCGAATAGAACGAAATCACTGATGTAGCGGTGTGTGGCAAATGCAAATATGGCAGTGTGATCGGTGGATGCTAACATGGATCAACTTCATTAGTACGAAATTATTGTTATTGTTATTGCATCATCATCTCGTGGCAAGCAATGCCAATGTTGAATGAGAGAGGGATGATAGCCAACCACGGCCAAATCAACAAAAGAAAAGTAGTAGACATACATATATAAGAAAGAAGAAAGAAGGAAGATAACTGTAAAAGAGATACGAATTACACAGTGGCCCAGAACAAGTGAATACCTAGCGAAGTAAAGTAGCAGAAGTGGAAAGTCTTTGGCAAGTCTTGAGGTCCTGTGACAGCAACGACCAATGTGTATATGCGAAAAATAGAGGGGACTTCAGAAGAGTGGCTGTGCGAGAGATAGGAAAGCAGAGAGAGTTTCGGGTAGCTGAGGACTGATGAAACCAGTTAAGCTGGGATAAAACATGAGGTGGGGCAAGACCAAGACGAATTTTATGAATTAGTTTACATGATGAAAGTCTGAGCCTGTTAGAGAGAGGGCAGCTGGATGTGATAGCATAGACAGTATGAGAGGGCGTCAAACGGGGAATAGCAAAGACAGCGCGAAGTAAGCGACGATGTGTGACTTCGAGACTATTCGTGAGCGATGTGCTGATGGGAGCCCAAATGGAGGAACAGTAGTCAAATACAGGCAGAACATAGCATTTATACAGCATTAAACGGCAATCACGGGGGAAATGAGATAAGTGAGAGGAGAGGAAGCCAACAATAGAACTTGCACGTTTCTCCAGGTACGTAATTTGGGGATCAAAGGACAGATGCTGATCCAAGATAATTCCAAGGTGTTTGTGCTGATCGACTATTGAGGGACAGGTACGGTCATCAGGGAACGTGAAAGGCGAGGGTCTTAATGTAGATAATTCACTATTGGGACGAGGAGGAAAGCAGAGAATAGCGGTTTTAGATGCGTTTGGCTTCAGCTTCCAGAGCGTCATCCAATTGACAACTTTGTTGATGTGGGTCTGCAATGTGACAGATGCAGCTGAAAGTGAAGAGGAGGAAACATGCAGTGCTGTATTATCTGCGTAGAGGTAGGTATGTGGAAGGGAGGCCAGATCGTTTACATAAATGATGAAAAGCAGTGGACCTAATATAGAACATTGGGGCACACCAGACTCTACTGTGGCTGGGCGAGACAAATGTCCCCCGACACGAATACACTGGCTGCGGCCAATCATGTAGCTAGTGAGCCAATTGTAAATGTTCCCAGAAAGCCCGAATGCTCTAAGCTTACAGAGTAGACCTCTAGTCCATACCGAATCGAAGGCCTTGCTAAGATCAAAGAAGTAGAGAAAGCTAAATTGTCGAGTGTCCTTGGATTGTTGTAAGGCCTGTACTAAATGCAACAGCTGCCAAGATGTGGAGTCCCCACGACGAAACCCGGACTGGAAAGGACTGAGGAGAGAGTTCACATGAGGATAGACATGATCAAAGACTACACGTTCACAAAGTTTGGATATAGTTGATAAAGGAGAAATAGGCCGGTAGTTGGTTGCACTTAAGCGAGCTCTTCTTCTTATATGTGGGTGTGACTATTGAGTGCTTCCAAAGGGAGGGAAATACGCCAGTGGACAATGTCATGTTGAAAAGAAGACTAGGGGGTATGCGGATGCTGGAGAAAGAAGTCAAAGAAGCTCTGTGACTGATGCTATCAACGCCTGTGGCTTTCTTCAGCATAAATATTATATCTGATATGCTTGGGATTGCATCAACCCCAATAAGTCCCTTTAGATCACGCCACCCAAAGCACCCGAAGAAAAGGTGACTGTCTTGCAATACCAGCATGCTAACTGGCCCCGTCTTTCCGCCTACCTCTATAACTCTGAATGAGAAGACATGAAAGGCGCAAATCCTGATTTGTTGTGTGAACCCGTGACAAAGCGCATTCATGAGCGAGTGCAAAACATACTGTCTAAGGTCCACAAAACCCGGCCACACAATTCCCTGTGGTTGATCTTTCAACGTTAAGTCGCTCTATACATCTACACAACTGTCAGTGTGTATGAATATACCTTTTGGTACATTTTCCTTTCAGAAGTACATTGCCCTGTTCCAAGGCAGAGTGGTGGATTAAGAGTGACCAATCCTGGAACTACTGTTGTCAACGGAATAGTAGTGAATGTACAATGCGCTGCTGGTTACTACATTACCGGACAATCACAAATTACCACGCCACCGGCCCTTCAACTGGGTCCCTCTGAGACAAACAGTGGTGGACGAAGTTGAAGAGCGCTGCTGGCTACCGCACACAGGCCGAAGTTCCCCTAATTGTCGACTCTGACGGCCGCGAGTGGGCAACGAGCTCAGAGAAAGCAGAGGCATTCGCTCGCTTGTTCTCGAAGAAATGCAGCGTCGCCGGTCCGGACCTTGTGGAGGCTGACCTACCGGACCCAGCTCCCTCAGATGCTCCACCTCTTCGCACCATCCGCTTCCGCCCAGAGGCTGTGCGCCGCCTCCTGGCAAAGCTCGACGTCTCCAAGGCTACAGGGCCTGACGGTATTTCTGGTCGCGTCCTTAAGGAATATGCCCACGAGCTCGCAGAGCCACTGTCCAAGCTATTTACTGTATGCTTCCTGTCTGGAGTCCAAGCTAGGATGTGGAAGATGGGCAACGTGGTTCCGATCCACTCGCGATCTTCCCGCTCAACCCTTTAGAACTATAGGCCCGTATACTTACTGTGCATACTCTCGAAAATCATTGAAACTCTAGAAAACAGACACATCGTAAACTATGTTGAGGACCACCATCTGCTCATGTCGCATCAGTTTGGATTTCGCAGAGGCCTCGGCAAATCAGACACTTTGCAAGCTCTCCAAACTGCCTGGGCAAGCGCTGTGGGCTGTGGAGGGGCGGCTCGTATCCTTGCTGTGGACATAGCAGGAGCGTTTGACCGTGTCTCACATGTCGGCCTCCTCAACAAGGTGCGCACCCTGGGCATCGATGGTCCGCTACAGAGATGGCTTGCCTCGTATCTGGACACCCGTTCCTTACAGTGCCTTGTTGGAGGGCGTACGTCAGCTACGACCTCCGCTGGAGTCCCCCAGGGAAGCATTCTTGGTCCAACGCTTTTCCTGGCGTACGTCAACGACGCGCCAGACGTTCTCGCTGACGGCGCCAACTTGGAGGCCTATGCTGATGACACAACCTTATACAGCTTAGTCACCTCCCAGCAGTCCCCGGAACTCGCAGCGCAGTCACTGCAGGTGTCCGTTGACCGACTGCACGAGTGGGGCCGTACGTGGAAAGTGACTTTTGATCCAACTAAATCCTTGGCCATCACAGCCACCCTCAGACGCGCCGGGGCTTAGATCTCCCCCCAATCCTGATGGGTGGCACACTGGTGCCCGAGACAACCCGCATCACCCTCCTTGGTGTGAAGGTGGAAACCAAGTTGGCCTTTGGCGATCACCTACGCTCCGCAGCCACCCGTGCACGCCAACGGCTTGGGGTCCTAAACAGAGCCGCCCACATCACCCCCGCCGGTCGGACGACAGTGTATAAGGCGTTCGTACGACCAGTCATGGAGTATGCGCCTCTTGTATGGATGGGAGCTGCGCAGAGTCACCTCCAGCGTCTGAACAATGTTCAGCGCCACGCACTCCATGCTATCAGCCCTGGGGCACACCTACCCAGCTCGGCCATCCGCCGTACTGTTTCCTCACTTGCCTGCCTGTTCAAGCTGCACTACTTGTCTGGTCCACCGCAGCTGCTCTCTGTGTTACCACCGCACCATATCACGTCTGCCAACCCCAGAACCCGCAGCGAGCACAGTAATGTCAGTGGCCATGACCACCAGCTTCAACACCAGCTGCCTGCATCTGCCCCGCTGGCGCTGAAGCGCTCGTTCCCACACTGCAGCATCAGCGATTGGAACTCCCTCCCTGTCGCTCTCCTGTCCCAGCCTCCCCACAGCAAGATAATGCAATCATTCAAAACGAACGTTTATCGCCATCTTCGCAGCACAAACTGGCTCTGGGCAGTCGATTCCCTATGAAAAGTATGATGCTATGATAGTTTCTCCCTACACTCACTCGTGTTAAGCCTTGGGGTTTTCGCATCTTTCTGGCCTGTAGTACAGCTCTATCTTCGTCTTTTTTTCATTGTTTTTGGTGCGTGTTTTGGCCGTGACGCCGAGACCTCAGGTCGGCAGAGTCACCAATGCCCCATTGTAGTATCCCTGCCTGTCTAATACGGAAGTAATACGAAACTAATACGGCGCTTTGCCAGATGTATGTTTGGTGTGTCTCCGTATGTAAGCGTACGGCGTCTGCTGCAAAAAAGCTGCTACGCATTTCTGTATTAGATATTATAGCAACGAAACGGCTAACTCGAAGAAGGAGTAGTCAACCTCTAGGTGTGTACCGTAGAGAAAGTTATTTATTTGCCGCTCCTTCTTTTAATAATAATTATATCCCAGGTGTATACCTGAGAGAAGTAGACTAAAACTAACTCTTGTTGATTGCACCGCGCCTACCACTCGGCTACCTGTTACATTGGTGGCAGCGGTGTATGTTTAAATAAAACAACGTGATTCGACCCCAGACCACCCTGGCTCAACCCGCTGCAGCTCAGTGCGACGAATCAAGATGAGATTCAAGTTTCTTGCCTTCCTGCCGGGGCCTGGCTTTGCTTATTAGCCTGCAGCACAATCAGGGTACTAGCGTGGATCACCCTTCTCTCCGCACGGCTCACACTGGAAACTTCGATGGCGATTCCAAGCGACCCGCTACCTACATGTATACTACCGGTGGTGATGGCGAAGCTGATGAGGACGACGACAGGCCGGCTGCTGCCCAAGACAAGGAGTTTATTCCCCAAGACCAGCAGCGTTTGATTTTCGCCGGCACGCAGTCGGAAGCAGGAGCCCACTCTTCACTTGGTACTTCCCCTCCGTGGTGGGATGCAGCTTTTTGTCAACACTCTTCCTGGCTAGACCATCACTCTTTACGTCGCGCAAAGCGATGCTATCGACAATGTGAAGACCACGATTCAAGACGAGGAGGGAGTTCACTTGTCTGACGCCGAGCTAGCCGCTCTGAGTGACCGGCTCAACCAAGATGAAGATAAAACCTGGCTTGCCCTCCGCCGTAGCTCCAGCCGCCGCCGTGGTTACTAACGCTGATTCCAGGTATGGCATTTCTTTCCTGTCTTCCTTCAGTCTCCTTGTTCTCTTCAGTCTTCCTTTATGCGAGTGTGTGAATCCAGTTCAGTTTGGTAGGCGTCTGATCACGGTGAGCCACGGTTTACCTAAGTAACCTTGTGAGAGATGTGTGTGAGAATCCTCTATTACACTACAGGTGTGTACCGGAGTAAGTTCCCACGATGCAGTGCATTTTTTTGAAATTGTGAATTTCCTGGCAGTTGGAGCCCGCGATGTGCAGACATTTGGCTGTCTTCACGTCCTATTTGGAGGACCATTCTTTCCCTTTTTGACCCCGAGAGATTGTGTGAACCTGGTGTGCTTTTACTTCTATGTTATGATTTGTTATCAGTTCATTTCTTCTGTCTACTCTAAACGTTATCATTTCCGATATAATTTGCCATCTTCCAGTTGACGCTGTGTTCATAACTCTTCGCTAACTTTTGAAAATCACGAGGGCGTGATTATCTGTAGGAAGGCAGGGTGTTGTATTCCTGCCTGTCTAATATGGAAGTAATACGAAACTAATACGGCGCTTTGCCTGATGTATGTTTGGTGTGTCTCCGTATGTAAGCGTACGGCGTCTGCTGCATAAAAGCTGCTGCGCATTTCTGTTTAAATTAGATATTATAGCAAAGAAACGGCTAACTCGAAGAAGAGGTAGTCAACCTCTAGGTGTGCACCGGAGAGAAAGTTATTTATTTGCCGCTTCTTCTTTTACGTATATGTAGGACTCAGTATAGAGTCCATGCACTATATGATGTCCAGCACCCTATATAGAGTCCATTGGTCCAAATCCACTATACAGAGTCCAGGAGTCCACTCAGTTTTGATCAGCTTCATCCTGCCGCGCAATCCCCTATAAGGAGTACACTTTTTCTACAAGTCCCCTATTCACAGTCCAGGAGTCCAGTTTATCCAGTCACGCTTTTTTTTCTTCTTCTTTCTTTTTAGAAGAGAAAAGGACATATGGATACGAGTTAAGAGTAACTCTCCATCACTGTAACATGATGCTATATACAGTCAGAAAGTGCAATAACTAGGCACAAAACTGACAGAGTACTGAGACATTCGACGTCCTGACACCTAACTTCAACACATCTCCGTAGCGCTAACCGACAGCCTTCCAACTTGGAAGGTTCAAGGTTATGGAAAGACCAAAGAGGGGAAGGCAAGCGCAACGAAAACGAGCAAAAGCTGCAGTCCCAACGGAACAAAGAATTTCGATTGTTACTGGACGATGACGAGACCAATACGATATTTGACAAAGCAGTCTAACTACAATTCGAAGCAGCAAAGCAGCACACCACCCAACTTGGGTGGGTCATAAATATCAAAGATAAGTAAAGAAAGGGAAGCTTTGCGAAAACGAATTGTACAAGCCGAAAGCCAAACTCCTACTATATATGTAGGACTCAGTATAGAGTCCATGCACTATATGATGTCCAGCACCCTATATAGAGTCCATTGGTCCAAAATCCACTATACAGAGTCCAGGAGTCCACTCAGTTTTGATCAGCTTCATCCTGCCGCGCAATTCCCTATAAGGAGTACACTTTTTCTACAAGTCCCCTATTCACGGTCCAGGAGTCCAGTTTATCCAGTCACGCCGTCCTGTGTGTTGTGCCCGAAAGAGAACACATTTTCAGTTTTGCTTGCCTCGTGGCAGCGCATTCCTTTCTTCACTTCAGCCATGGCTGCCAATTCTGCTGTGCAGTTGCTGACAGTAATCTGTCTCGAGCTAACCAAGGAGGATAAGGAGACGTTCAAAATCAAATCTGCAAAGCGTCTTGTGGTTCTCTGAAGACGTTTCATCAGTGCGCGGGATGAAAGCAGAAATTGCAGAACGAGAAAAGTTCAGCACAGTTCAAATCTGACGAGTCAGGTACACTGACGCTCTCTTTCGTTCGACGCCACAAGGATCCCCTGTTTGGCTGGCCATTGCTGCCAGTAAGACGTTTGAACGGTTTCATCAGAGCGAGGGATGAAAGCGGAGAAAGAGAAAAGTTCAGCACAGTTGCAATCTGACGAGTCAGATACACTGACACTCTCTTCCGTTCGACGCCACAAGGATACCCCTGTTTGACTGGACAAGAGCTGCCTGTACCACCGTGTCAAAAGGCTGTCCAACTACATGGCAGGACGATGACTGAGGTAAGGAAGCTTTTACTCGTTTCGATTGGTCTGCTGAGCTGTTCTGTCGTTATGCTTGAATTTTTTTTCCATTTTCAAGGAGCGTATCGCGTTTGTTTGATGTTGCTTGAATGAATGCCCTAAAAGTAATCAACCACTTCGTAATAGTCCTCAAGGACTGCAAGGACTTTGCATCAATCGTATATGATCGTCTAGCTATCATCAATCATTATTTTATTTCATGAGAAATGTATTTTTATCCCTGTGATAATTATGTGAACTCCACGACACTCTTCCTGTAGTATGATGTCAAATACAATGGGATCCACAAACGCAGTGCCAGTGTACTACCGTACTGGCAATATATGTTGCCGCGTAACGCGTAACGCAGGGGGTGCGGCGTAACGCGCGACCAGGCTAGTGCGACAAATTTTCGTTGAGTTCGTAACGCGCGTCCGGCGGGGTGCGACGATCTTTTCATTGCAGTTTGCACTGCAAAAAAAAAGGCTGAAAACTGTGAAAGCACGTGTACCGCGTGGTGAAAAGTTTTTTTTTTTGAGGAAGCGCTCTTCCCCTATGTCACTTTCCTTTTGATGATCTTTTTGTGAACAGATCACTCTGATAGTTAAAATATACAGTCTTCTATTGATTATTCATGGCTCACACATGACGGGTTTACGTGGCTCTAGTAAAAAAAAAAAAAAAAAAAAAAAAAATCGTTGTCGCCCTTTGCCGTCGGGTTTGTAACAGTTGGATAGCAACTGAATTTCTAATTCTGTGCCTTCAATGTGGATGAAAAGAAAAAATTATGCGGCAAAAAGCAAAAAAATTATGCGGCAAGAGCAAAAAAGTGATGCGGCAATAGCAAAAAAAGGACTGCGGCAATATAGAAACCTGTGTAACGGCTCCTGTGCGACTTTGCATGTAACGTCTTGCGTGCGGCAAACATGTGCCAATGTAACGCTTCATGGCCTCACTGCGGCAACATATATTGCCAGTACGGTAGTAGTAGTAGTAGTAGTAGGACTAGGAGGATTGCTTGTATGCCAATGACAAGAAAAAGCTTCTCAAGCTAATACTCGTATTCCCTGAAGTAACCGTTTTGATGTCACGAACATGACATTGTGTCAGTGAAGCTGCCTCGTGACAACAAATCATTGCATTTCCATCTTGGGGAAGACTGACTGACAGCAATGCTGTACAGATTGTTCAAATCATCTCATATCAATTTAGTTGCAGTGAAGTGAAACACTGTGTACACTACATGTATGTTGGTGTGTCTGTGCGTCTTGAGTGTGGACAAACGATCTTATTCCTCGTATTACTAATAGATTATTGTCCCCACCATCACCTGTTCACAGGTCTTTGAGTGGATTGATTTTCATTGAGCATCACATTCGTTGAGAACTTGGTAGTTGTGTGCTCCCATGCATCATTACGGTAATAAGCGTATCCTTGTGCTATCTATTTGTTGCAGGTGTGCTGATCTTCAGAAACTTGCGGAACTGAGTGCTGCTGAACATTTGCATGGCCATGAGCAATGGTGAAGCTTGCTATTGCACTCTCAGCCTGTGCTAGTATTATGCTGACCACTGCACTATGTTACTCTCTTACACTACTACGCGTATGTAAACGTGCGTGTACCCGTCCCCGTACGCATTCGTTTCGTATAATTATTTGTTATCCCTCTTGACTTTACATGTAAATGGGTGGACGTTTGC